ATTCGACAAGGCTACTCATCGGTGAGCGAATAAAGAAAGTTGAATAGCATCCCCAACGCGGAGGGGTCAGGTGTCGCAACCGTAGAGTAGCCTTGTCGAATCTCACTGGAGACGGCTGAGGGTGGCGAAAATGGCCCTAGGCCCTAACCCGACCTGAGGTATAACGATACAACTCGTTGAGGATCGACACACACCTCAGGTACTCCATTCCTCAACAAACAGTTCCATAATGCGGTTCCATCGACAGAGTCGAAGGCCGCGCGGATGTCTAACAATACAATGATCGTCGGTCTTTGATAGACATGACAGTAACGGGAATTACCCATGGCAGCAGCACGTTCCATCAGATCTCACGGTCTCTGCGTAGGCTTGCATTAAGTTCACGTCTCGTTGCGAGTCGTGTTTCGTTGTGCTCGTTGCCGGTCGGAATTGACCGAAGTACGTGAAGAATGCGTACAGACTCTTCAGAGATCCAGGGTGTCACGGTTCGACGTGTCAGACCACAACGAACTAAGCCAGCAAAATGCAGAGCATTCTTGACAAATGACCAGTGGTGGTTAACATTATCAGATGGGGGGGATAGCTTTTCAGTTAGCGCATTTTGGAAAATAGTTAGACAAGCTGGTTTGGACAGCTTATCATAGTCTAACCGTCATTGTGTCGTGCGTTTGAAACGCCCACCGAAGCCTATGGACAGCTTGGTGCATACTAATGTGTGATCAGATTCGAAGGGAGTGCTCCAGTACCATCGGCAGTCTTGAATGCAGTCCCGTCATTTTTGGCTTATCGCAATGTGGTCGATCTGTGTCCGTCGCTGACAAGAGGAGAACGGACGCCAGGTTGCGTACCGGCAGTTGGAGCGTCTGAAATTCGTACTAGCGAGGAACAGGCGGTGGTCGGAACATATAGCCAACAGCCGTTCCCTTCTTTCCGACGGGAATCTAGTGCGAAAGGACCTCCCAGGTGCACCTCACTAAACGTCAAGTGGCATACTCTAGCATTAATATCTCCTGCTAAAATCACGATATCATCTCGACTCGCTTTACGCAAGAGATCGTGTATATTATGGTAAAATTAATCTTTGACTGCATCGGGGCAGCAGTCCGTTGGAGCGTACGCCGAAACGACAAACAAGTTTCGTCTATCGTGGTGACTGCTGCTTATCTTGCACGAACCTCTGAGTCTCACTGCGCACAACCTACTGTCGACTGGGATCCAGTCCAGGGGCGCGGCCTCGGCTCTCTCACTGAGAGCCACGCTGACGCCACCAAAACCGAAAACCGCAGCCTCAGGGTCCCCAGAGAGGCGTAGGTAAAACTTCACAGATTGGTTTGATGGGGACGCCAATCGGATAATAGAGTCGTGGATGCAACACACGTCGATGGCTAGGGTCTCGAGCGTACGATCTAAGCACGCCTGTTGTCCTGTACGCATCAGAGTACACACATTAAACGTGGCTAGTTTGAATGGACTTCGAGGGCGAAGAATGGCTTCAGCTGGTGGGGGATTCGATGAGACTTGGATGCTAGTCCAGGTAGGACAAGAGCAAACAGTGGC